CCGTAGAGTTTTTATCGCCGGAATCGTCCGTGTCCGGAGGGCTGCGTGCGATGACGGAGAAAAAACGGCGTGTATTATTTTGTACGGAAAATAATATCATATTATAATATATATATATAAGTACCTAGGTAATAGATATTATATTATTCGATACGTGTGTTTTCATTATTTTTTCCACGGCCACGTTGCGGTAGGCACCCACCGCGCGAGCAAAGCGATTTTCTGTACTTGTGTCATAATAATATGTTATACGCGTCACAGCGACGGAGACGCATAGCTTTCTATACGGACGCGTCGGATTTGTTAATATTATGTCGTAAACAATAGGTATTTAAAACGGTGCTTTAATATTATATAGATAGTGTACATATTCAGGCCTTAAGCCCCTGGCTGGAGTTTTGGATCACCCAAATTCACATTAAAAAATACATTATTATCAAAATATAATTATTGTAGTAATCAGTCAAGAGAAATTATTAGTGTTGGAGTGTTCAATGAGAAAATAATAATTCGTTTGCACTAGTCGGAAGAAATGGTTTTTGACTTCAAAATATATTTATCAATATAAATTGAAACACAGTAAAAAAAGTCGATGATTTAAAATGTCTGTAAATTGAATATAAATCTAGTTGACAAAAATGTCAAGTATATAATTTTAAATGAATATGTTTTGACAATGAAATTTGCTACCAGAAACCACCATAGAGAGGAGAGGGGTATCACTTGAACATTTCATCTACTATGTATAATATTATTAAGTGACGACAAGTCATTATTGCGAGACTATATTATTGGGTGACGTTAGATGGTTACAACGAAAAAAAATGGTCGTACATAATATTATATATTATTATGTGTATTGTTACCTAAGGTAATGATACCCGAATACAGTTAACATAATAAATGAATTACTATTTAACGCCGTTTATAAAAAATTATATTCTCATCACAATAATATATACTGGAGTAATGCATAATATATGATAATATGGGTCTCTTTTTTTCTAACGATAGTCATCACTCGTATAGGTACTCATAAAGTTAACTTCCCATTACACCGGTATTATACAACACTATAATATAAATATATATATATATATATATATATATAAATACCTATACAATTTAAACTACAATTTTCTAAAATATTTGATATCTGAACGTCTAATGAGACGTATAATAACGGTACATTTTTATTATTGTTTTAATATTATGCTGGGGCGGAATTAGTGTTCATGCAAAAATCAAATGAAACAGTAGGTAAATATACAACGGTGAATGGAAATAATTTTAGTGTGATTTCACAACTCGTTAACTTATTATAATGCGTAAAACTTTATATTATATAATTGCCAAGTTAAAGGAAAAAAAATATATACCTAATAATATTTATTTGAATTGCCTTTAATTTTATAAAAAAAAAATCGAAATACTTAAGTATATTATTATATTTTATCTAAGTCAGACATTTTCTCAGGATGAGAAACAATTGTGTAGTTTACCATGAATATAACAAACAAGATAGCATAAACTCATAAAGTGTGTTTAGCGTACCTCGTGACTTACCTTAATATGATTAATCGATCAACGACGTGAAAATATTTTTATTTTTTTTTATAATACATATAGGTCTAAAACAATTATATAACTTATTTACACAGGTATCTTTAATAACACGTAATTTCCTGGGAAGTAGGTACATGCGAATTATAATGTTATGTAGTGTGAAATAAAGAATAATAAAAACTTTTTTCCTTGTAAATGTATAATTATATATATTCATTATATATATTTTTTTTTTGGACTTATTTGTTATAGGTACTTAATATTTTCTGTATGAATATAATTAATATAAATGATTCAAGAAATCTTTTTTTTATTTAAAAATGAGTGAAAAAATCGATTTGGTGAAATCTGGGTGGGTTTTCTACTGCGTTGGCTATTAAATAATAATATAAACAAAATTAAATAAAACAGCGTAAGTAATTGCTCCGTTTTAAATAAAAAGTGAGATACTATGACCTGCGGCCTAACTGTTAAAATTAGCCTTATAAGTAATTAGGGCCCAAATTTTAATGCGAAAACATATTATAGAATATGCATTTACTTATAAATTAACAAAATTAAAAAAAATTGGTACTTCTGCAAAGAAAGTGCATAAGGAAATTGAAAATATGCACATATTATGTTTATGCATACAAATAACTAATACAACTTGTAAAATGAAATAAAGATTTGAAAGATGAATAAATAGCGTCTAGATATTTTTTAATTTTTTTTTACTTGTTTAATTTTACGAAACAATTAAGACGACATTAATAGCAGATTAAAAATGTATTATTCTACAAAATATTTTGAATATTATACATTCATCCGGTTAATTGTTCAAATTTCTTTGGCTATTTAGCTTAGTTTCAACTTTCAATCAACCTTTGAACAAAATTTAAATTATTTTATTTGATGATTATAAAATACCAAATATGCAACTTTGTGTAATTATCTAGAAATAAGAAGAAAACTCACCTATATATTAACTTAAACTCTGAAAATGTGCAAAAATAAACAAAAATTAACTATAGAATATATACGCATTACGTTTCGGCAACATATTTATTCATAGTTATTCAAAGTTAGACAAGTGAAGGATAATATACAATTTACATAAACATCCGGGCCATAGATAAACTTTTAAGTTATAGGTCCCTCCGCTATATTTCAATGTGTACAAAATGTATTGTAGATCTTAAGAACTTACTGACCTATACCTATTTCGTCACCGTTCACGCCCGTTGAAATAATCTGATCAAATAGATATTGATTGGCGTTTCATTTTAAATTTAAAATTGTCTATTATCAGATGACTGATGAGGAATAGCTTTAATATCCGAGTATTAAATTGGTTCTTTCAAGTATGGAATAATGAGGTACCTACATAACCTATAGATGTAATTTGTATTGTGGACCTGCAATATTAGTTAACCATATACTTAGTATAATAGGTAATGATAGGTATTATATTCTAAAAATATTTATAATATTTTTTCTGTAATAGGTACATACTTATATATTTCATCCTTACGTATATTAATAAAAAAAAATATTATTAATTATATAATAACATGATCGAATTCTATATTTTATTAACATAATAAAATAGGTATTTATTCAAATTTCTATAGTATTTTTATATAATATTTAAAAGTATATTGCACTCAAGTTTCAAAGAGAGAACATGACCCATTGAAAAACATAAATAAAATGAGTTTCGATTTAAAATAAAATATTAAAGCCCTTTATAACTATTGTAGTAAAACCAGTACCTATCTCCGTTATCGAAACGGTTAGAAAAATGTCAGTGAAATTCATTAGGTCTAGATAATGTTTAGTCCAAAAATGTTAGTCCGATGACATAACTGAAAATACTATAACTCAATAATAAGGGGTGGTCATACACGCGGTGTCAAACAACCAGTCCCCAAAAAATGTACTGTTTATCAGGAACTAGTTGAAAATATAATAAGTAATTATGCTCATTATATAAACGAAATAACTGTATATCTTAGAGCATTTGCTTACCACTTAAAATTATACAGTGATCTGATTTAATAAACGAAATTTACAAGAAATTTGTGGTTCTCATTAATTTGGTTTTCTTAAGACATAATGTAATACTTATAATACAATACATAAAAGTTCATTGGCCATTAAAATGAACGGTCTAATTTTTCTATTCGACAAACATTGAACCTAAAAAAATAATAGACAAAATTACATTGGACATGACTAAATTAAAATTGGACCTTATAGGAAGGACCAATATTCTTGTAACCTATCGGAACCTAATAAATTATATAGAATTATCGTATGTATATATGAAAATATGGGCACCAAAATATTTTCATTCACTTGAGTAAACAGAGTCAATATTACGACTCCAAGAACTATGATACGTATTACGGTTAACGTAAATCACAACCATAATTTTTAACAATATTACAGTGTGAAATATGATTTTATAGTGAATAACGATTGGCCACAAATCATTTATATTTTATACCACTCGCGTTGTATAATAGGTACCTACGTATAGTAATAGTGACACGTCAAAACGTTTCCATAAACACGCATTAAAGGAGGTTTTTTAATTTAAAGGCAACAAAAAAAATTATACTATATTATTAACGCGTTAATCAAATATTTGCAGTTCGGTTAATTTACTGTGAAATTGTTCTGTTTTCACGTCCCACGCTATATATTTATAAATCATATATTATGATTATAATAATATGTATAGGAAGGTATGCGACGGGACTTGGGATGCGTCAACGTTCGTAAGTTTGTATTATGTAAGATAATACACGTTGACTCTATGACCTGTGTAAATACTTATGAAAGAAGTACTTACTCATGAAATAAACATTTAAAGAATACAACAAGATACTAATACGTTTTAATACAAATTTTTTTTCAATTATACGTTTGTACAATATAACAAGTGTGTAAACAGTGTTAAGCTGCGTGCTCCTTCACATAATAATATTGTGTTAGTTGTTATTATTGACTCCGAGGACAACCCCCGAGTGACTCACTCTCACACCAATAAAGTATATTCCACTGTACGGTCGGAGCTAAGTAAAAGTCTACACCGGATAATAAATATAGCACTGCGAGTAACATCGACATTCGTGCGAGGTCTCTTCATGCTATTTTTTTTTTATTATTATTATTATTATTTAACAAACTCGGTTCCCATCGAAGTTTTTACCTTCTCCCGGACGAGCTGAAGAAATATCGGTTTGTCGTGACCGAGTAACCACCTCGCGGCACGAAACCATCCCAAAACGGTGCAATGTCGGTTTAAGTTCGATGGCTCCCCTTCCACACCCCCCGGCCCATCACCACCAACCAATTATATTGTTTTATCATTATGTGTACATATATCGTAATAAATGACATGTCTTATAGTCGAAATATATAATGCGAACGATAAATTGTTATAGGTCAAATTACCGATACCGACCAAAGAGAGTCTACCGCAGGTGGCCGAAGCGTTAAAGGCGGCTACGTACTTGGAGGACAGCGATGAACTGGAAAAGAACTTCGAAGGACAGCGGGATAGTTATAAGAGATCACCCAGGAAATTGGCAACTGATGATCTAGACAAAAACTCGGAACTACAGGAGTATCAAGGTGTTTTATTATTACATTTTTTTTTTTTTCATATCGTGAGTGTTGAAAGAGTATTTTTCATGATAACTAATAACATGCAAGTGTTATAATAAATACTGCGTGGTTTTAGATAATAATGTCCTGTATTTTTTGTAGGAGTAATGGGACGTCCTGGTGTTGACTTTCCAATATTGCCATCCATACCGCATACCGATTTCAGCTGTAAAAAGGTGAAGAAACCTGGTTACTACGCAGATCCTGAAACTGACTGCCAGGTAAATAAGACCTTTTTATATGCAGAAATATTTTGAGTGTTAATATGTTGTCCCAAGTGCAACAAACTATACAATATTATATATTAAATAATATTATAGTTACAACTTACAATAAGCTGATAATAATCAATTTTACGAAATTAATACATATATATATTATTATGCATCGACGCATCGTATACAGTTAGTGGTGATAAAAATGCTAACAGATATCCAAAAAATCAAAATTAGTCAGGTTCAAGATTAATTAGACAGAGTTTATGAATCGCGTGGATTTTATTGAAGTTTGCAAAAATACAAAGTTCTAATTTTAATTTTCATAAAAATTATGTGGAACATTTTTGAAAATAATTTTTTATAATCAATTTAATTTTACAAAAAGCCAATATGTTGTAGGTACCTATTAAATTGTGAAGTGTCCATTGAATTTTAAGTGCAAATAAATAAAGTCCGAAATTCATTATTACTTAGATAATTTATTAACTAGATATATTAAAGTAGCTAGGTATTTAATATACTTTTAATTTTTCAAAAAATATTTTTTTGTGTATAATGTGTTAAAAAAAAAACAAAGTAAAATATAGATATCGTCATTTTTTTTTACACTACTAACATGAAGTATTTGTTATATAACATAATATTAAAAATTAAAAATATTTATATGATTGTGCAAATTTAATTTTTTTTTTAATTAAATTAATAAAAATATTTTTCTTTTCAGGTATTTCACATTTGTGATAATGGAAGGAAAGTATCATTCTTATGTCCAAATGGTACGATTTTCCGTCAATCACATTTAATTTGTGACTGGTGGTTCCGAGTGGATTGTGAAAGATCAATCGAGTTATACGAAGAGAGTGCAGAACAGCTTGCATCTGACCAACGGGTTTTTAAAGAGCGTGCTGAAACATTGGCTAAAGCTATGTTAAAAGTACAAACAACAACTCAAACAAGTTATAGTGATCGCGTTGTAACCGAACGTTCATTTGGCCCGAGTACAACTATTTTTAATTCCGAAAGCCGACTGCCTGACCGTGCCAGATACTTTAGTGACTATTCGAGGGACGAAAGTCAAGTTCCCGCTGAGACAGGATCATTCGCTGGAAAACAGTTTCAAACCAATTTCAATAATTATTATCCAAAGTCCAAATCACCTGTACAAAATTGGAACCAAGGTAATTATCAAACACAACCTTCAACAACAGCCCAACCGATTTGGAATGGCAACTACCAAAGCAGTACTTATCAAGCACAGTCTACAATAACTGCACGGCCGACTTGGAACCAGGCTGCTAATAACAATTACCAAACTAGTTCTTATCAATCACCACCTGTGACGACTGCACAACCATCCATCGTTCAAGGGATCAATAATTTCCAATCTAGTTACCAACCACAATTCACCACAAGTGCTCAATCGGTTCAAGGTACTACCAGTTCACAAGTAGCTTACCAACCACAGCCCACTACTGTGGTGTCTCAAACAAATTGGAACCAAGGTAGCAATAATTATCAAACTGGAAATTACCAAACAATACCCACCACAGCAGCAACTCAAACGAACTGGAATAATCATGGTAACAACGGTCTTAGAACTAACAATTATCAGTCTCATACACCTTCAACAACACAACCAAATTGGAGCCAAAGTAGTAGTAGTAACTACCAATCTGAAAACTATCAATCACCGTCCACTACAGAAGCCGCTCAAGCTAACTGGGATAATCAAGGTTCCAACAATTTACAAACTGAAAATTATCAAACATCACAATCAACAACACCGACACCGGTAAGCTGGAATAATCAAGGTTCCAACCAATTTGGGACTTCAAATTCTCAAAAACAAGTGACGACTACCGTACCACAAACTAACTGGAACGGAGCTGTCAATAATTTCCAATCAAATAGTTACAATTCACAACCAATAACAACGATACAACCGGATTGGAACCAAGAGTCTGATACTCTCCTGCCTAATCAATTCGAATCTCAACAACTGACAACTGTGTTTCCAACCGATAATGAACAAACCATCCCGGCCAAAGAAAGCCAAGTACCCGCGGAATCAGCTTCATTTGTAGGCCACCAAAACTTACCTCGTTTTAATTTTCAACCAGATAATTACTACACACAGACTCCTCAGACAAATGTACCACCCACCACATATCCAGTAACAAGTTCTTACACAAATGATTATTCACCAAATGGAGCTTTTTCATTTGTCGAATATCAAAGATCGCCCGATACTCCCGTCGCTAGAGACAGCTCAACTCAAGCTTCTCCAGTTATGACTACAGTATTTGACTATAATTCGGTCGATAATTCCACATTACCACCTTCTGGAGAGACGTTAATCCCGAATATGATAAACTCATTGCAATCACTGACAGATAATAATCTACTTTTTGACTTGGATGGGCAAAACACTTACCCTTCGCAAACGAATTCCGACGATGAACTGAATTCCGTCGCCGTGTATTTTAATAATGTAAAAAATCCACAAGTGACTACTGTTGCTAGTGACTTGCAGTTTAATCGTTTCGAACAAACGTCTAGAGCATACACCAATGGCATAAGTTCAACTACTATTGATTCGGTCGAAACTACTACACCAGTTGATAATTTACATATACCTGCGATTTTGACACAGAATACAAAAGAAGCATATGATAAGCTTTTCAGAAATGACACCGTTAAAGAACCAATGGTCACTTTAAAGTTGGCAGATACTAGCAAGCCTGTAGAAAATCCTACAAGTTCAGTAAACCTAGGATTTGCTCAGGGATTGACTGTAAACCGTTCGTCGGTGGAATTGAGAGAACTGGCTGCAGTATTTACGCGTGCTTTAACTGCATACTTGGACGACCCAGAGAATTTCCGTAAAATACTAGCCGAGGTAAGACCAACGGAACCACCAAGTGTCAAGACTAGCGTTACCGAAGAACAAGAAGTGTTGGATTTTTCTGACGATTCAAAGCGTCAACGAGGGAAACCCACAGAACCGAGCACATCAAGCCCAAATTTAGCAGCTGAAATCAATGGTATGACACAAAGTATTAGTGTACTGACAGACTTGTCAACCACTGTTCCACAATACACCTCATCGCCATTAATAGAAATCACATCAAAGTATACTGAAACATCAAACGCTGGTTTACAAGAATATGCACCACCGGAAGATAGCGAACAGTTACAATTGGCCGGAAGTCATTCGTTTTATTCAAGTAGAGACAATAGCATTCAAACTGCGAAAACTCTAAAACCAGCCGCCTCCACGTTGTCATGGACAGTTTCTCCTTTAATAGACACTGATCAGGACATAAAATCTACTACTCTGTCGCCAGTGTACTTCACTACCACCGCAGAAGACTTAGAAACTACTGTAATTGTGCAAAGGGCCAAAGAAATGTTCAGTCACTTGAATGCGTCTGAAGCAGGAGTATTGATGAATGTTATGAAAACTGCTCAAGTTAATGATACAGTTAAAAGGTAATAATAATTCTTAAAATAGCCTCATTAACAATATAAATTGTTGTCTATAGATTTCATTCAATAACATTGTATTAACTGATATGCCAAGAATTAAACATAAAGTTTGAAATAATGCATTTGTTGTGTAGTTATTATAAGTGTTTATCTAATAATAATTAATATAATTATAAATAAAATAAACCCATGCAATACATCAATTTAAAGAAATTTTCACGGAACAATATTTTTAAGTTAAAAATATAATGAAACACCTGTTTAATTTAGTGTTGTAAATTACTTGAGTAAAATTATTCAAATACTTTATAAGTACCTAGGTACTCAAATAAGTATTTCAAAAGTCTCAAAGTATTTGTATTAAACATCAAGTACCTACCAATTTTCAAATAGGTACTTTAATAATTCTTTTTAGTTTATATATTTTCTATTTTAATTTTGAACACGTAAAATAAAATTCAAATTGAGGATATATACAATAATATTAATTTTTACTGGGAATAATACTCAACTAAAAATAAAATATTTCGAAAAATAAAACAGCAGAGTATGTAATGTGTAAAATATATGCTCTATAAAATTGATTTAAACATGAAAATTGGTTCATTAAATTTGAAAGTATCTATAATTCCTTTTTTAAAGTATTTGTATTTGTAGGTATTCAAATAATTTTTTTGCTGAGTGAGTATTCAAATACGTATTTTAAATACCTACTTTTCGAAAAAGTATCCGTAATCCGAATATATGTACTTGAAAACTTTAAAAAAGTATCTTTTACAAGACTGTCATTTGTATAAATTGTAGATTTTGTTTAGTTTTAATATACTCATATACTCAACACTTGGAAATAATTTATGTAAATACCGTGATCATAATTTTTTTTAGGTATAATAGCATAATTTATTAATAATACAAATTTAGAAACAATGGTAAAATAATGATTGTATATGAAAAATGAAACTAGGTACTTAAATACACACCTATGTATGAAAATAATATATATGTATATTGATATTATATATTACATATATAAATAATTTTTAGTAAATAAATAAATAATATCATTACGATAAATATGTCATATCTAATTTATAATTATGTACACTTGACACTTGTCAAATATGAAATATTTATTGGTAATATAATAGGTTTAATTATAAATTATATTTAAATTTAAACAACCATTTATACATATAAATATATGATATATGTTTTATAATGATTTACCTACATCAGTTTATTTCTAAATCAATTAATAATTTCATGAATATATTTTTTAAATACATAATACAAAATAATATTGAATTTTTGTATTGTATCTTCAATGTGGCGATTTTCTCATTGCTATAAAATAATTGTCACGTTAGTTAATTCATAAACTCATGACACGTGGTTCTTTATTGCGTGTTTTGTGTAAAATAACAATATACAATTTATCCTTACATTATTTCATAATGTTTGTATAAAGCTTGCGGACTAGAAAAAAAATTATTCTTTTTGTTATTATAGTGTTTTTTTTTTTTCATTATTCAAACGATTATTTTATTTTACAGATTGGTTTTACTGTTAGTCAATGACTCGAACAAAGAGAATAGCCCAGAGCAGACTAGAAACAATTTAATCGAAGCATTACTGGAGAATAGGAGTACTGATCAAGCGTATGACGGCTCATCGTCATCACCGACGACTACTTTCTTGCCGTCGTCGCCGTCGGAAATTCCATTCGGTCAGAGAATACAGGAAGATGGTTCGCCGGTGCAGGACGGACAGTACAAGAAATCTAGGAAAGAGGCCAGGAGACGAGTTGTGCACAGGAGTAGGTCAACTCCCGTTTCCACCACTCCAATGACCTCGAATACTTGGCAGGGAGCTAACGACGTGGGTCCGGGGCTGAGTGGTGATTCTGACGCCCGAGCGGTCGAACTCCTCAAGTCCCTATACTCGATCGCATCCAAATGGTCGTAGTTTGACGGTTATCCGTCGACGGTATTTCCATTCTGCCTGTGTCATAACCGTGTGAAAATCAAATTATTTACGAATCGTCTTTAGAATTATTTTAATATAAGTATTTTATATTTTTGTAATCGGTTCGGGATTATGAAAAAAAAAAAAAAGAAATGATCAAAGCCGACAAACCGTTCATAATCGGACAAAACAATTACATTTTACAATATTCATACACAATTAATAATGCATCAAAATTATATCCCCAGATCAGATTGTTCTTTAAGCGCTACGTGAAATGCTCAATTTCAATTATGGCCAACTATAGCTGTATAATTTTTTAATAGTTCAACAATATTATTGTGACAAGAAAATTAGTCGAAGATTACTGATAAATTTTGGTTTCCAACTCTCGAGATATTGTTTACATATAGTGCGCGACCCCCAGGAAGTTCATTGACTATACCTTTAATAATGATAACAATACTGTCATCTTAATACATTTAAAGATAATATTCAAAAAATTGTATTTCTTATTGATACATTGACCATTTCATACCGGACGAGTGTATAACTAATACCATGCGATTATAATATCCAACGAAAATCCCAACGCATCTTACCGCTGTGATGTAAAACAATAATATCTTTCATTTATTTTTCAAAATTCAACATTTATGTTTAATAGTTGCAGTAATTTTTAACAGTCGTCTTTCATAACGGTCGCTGTACCTAGGTACAATATCATGTCTGTTTAGCGTTTAGAAGTAAGTTGCCATCGCCTAGTACAGAATATTATTAATATTGTAAATGTCTCGACAATATACGCATAATGTAAATTGACTCTAGTCCTCGGCGAATCGGTGTGTTACTGTTTTAGGCTTACCTAAGACTTATATTCGTGTTGTATACATATATATATATATATATATAAATATTATTATATAATTTGCTCATATATCAAAAGTAGATTTCTGTTAAGATTCAATTTTAATTGTATAATAACCAACAATTGCATACAATTAATATTGTACAACGTACGTAGGTGTATGTCATATTGTATTTTTGGTATTTATGCTTAAAATGTATTTCTCTATTTATCTTTTGCACTTTATTTTATTTTACATTAAGTTTAAACCTTATTTTGCATACCTACCGATAATCATTATAAGTACTCAATTACAACTATATATACTTACCGTCTTTCAATTCTTAACCAACATCGATTATTAATCTAAAAAAATTATCATCGATTGATTGAGAGAATATTATAACTATTTTAATCTATGAGTTAAAAACTGCTTACCTTTTTCATTTATTCTTAAACAATGTAAATGCGTGTGTACGTGTGAAATATATACGTTACACGCGTATTATTATTATTATTATTATTAACTAGCTCGTATGAATTAAATGATGATACTTTTATAATATTTTTAATTTACTCACATTATGAGTCGAGTTACATTACATGCCATGTAATAATGTTATCACATTATATGTATTATGTAAATTGCATAATATTGTAAATAAAATATAAAATTATTGTGTATACTTAGAAAAAATTGATTGTCAATTGTCATTTAGCATAAGCTGGTAACCTATTCCCGCATTCATGTATTCATATTACCTTATTATTCATATTCAAATTATATTTATATTAAAATTGTAATACCTATTATGATCATATTGATTAAAAAAAATACAGGAGAAGTCGCTTCGCTGTATAGTAGTTTTCGAGAGGGTCATCATAATGGATATTGTGTTAAATTTGAACTCAATGATATAAAGTTTAAAAAGATTCTGAGCGAAGACGACCTATCAGCCTATACATTGCTAAGAATATTTTAAGATACTATTAAAGAAATTAATTTTACTATTAGCAATAGTAGGTTAAATTGTTTTTTTCCATGAACATAATAATATAGTGTTTGAAAATATCATTGTACTTATCTATAAAATAAAATAGTATATGCTTTAAAAGTTTCCATAACCCACAAATAATATTTTTAAATTGCAACAAACTAACTAAAATTATTATCCTCCGTTTAAAAATTGAACTTCATCCATATAATATATGAATTAAAATATCTATTTAAAAAAAATGTGTATATTTAATTTTTAGATGTTTTGGTTTCAGTATCAAATACTCATGAGAAACCTTGTTTTAAATTTCAATTCTTAGCTATACAAATTGAACATTTTTAAAATTGTTCACAAAAAAATAATTTGCAAAATTTCAAGATTTTGATTAATTTTGTCAACATTTCCACTAAATAAGTACCAAAAAAAAATCATGCTTATATATACAAAAAACAATTCTGAGCGGTCCTATAATATTATTATTTTTTATTCGTTGCTATATGAAGTGATAAACAATAATGAGTGGAACCATTAAAAAAAAAAAGTAAATGTATTTAAATATTTAATGAATTTAAGTAAATGTGAAAAATGAATAAAAATGAAAATTATTATTATTAGGTACCTACTATTTAGTTACTTTATTATACTAATCATATTCAATAATCGAAATTACTGGCCTGTGATAACTGAAATATTGTATGTATGTTTGTGATGTAATTTTTCCAAATATCTTGAAAATACTGCATCAATAGTGGTGTCATCTCTCATTGTAGATTCTGCTGGATTGCTTATTAAATGTAAATTGAATGTGTCCAATTTCCATAATGAAAGTTTTAAATGTCACCGATTTCTTATAGTTAAAATTGTTGTTAAAGTCACCACCAAATAGTTTATAAATTATAATAATTACAAATACATATATAATGCAGACCTAATTGGGCTGTTTCAAATTCTCACTTTATACCGTTTTCTATTTTTCTATTACCCAGTGTATACCAAAAGTAAAGCACAACAAAATTTAATTACCGCAAAGGTAATGAACTATGCAGGGATATATGCAACAATCAGATTATTCTACGAAAACAATTTCACGAAATAAAAATGTTTTCGCGTCATGCAAGGAGACTATAATTATGTAGGTATATATGAGATGTAACCAAAAGTTTATGCTTTGTAAGGACCGTGGTATAGATTTCAATGTCTGGTTGTGCAGGGAATACCCGCGATTTCCGAGGCCCAACACTTTAGGGATTTCCACTTTACCACCCTGCACCACTTAACATATTATACCTAAATATATTTATTACTTATGTATTTTATTAATTATAATAATATTATAAATGCATAATATACGTAGTGTAGTGATATATTATCAATAATTTTATTATATTATCAATATACTCGAGATATTTATAAATTATAAATTATAATCATATTATCGCGTACCGTAACTTATCACTCCCTTTTTTTTTTTTTTTGTTCCATCCTACCCATTGGCGTAACCAGGATTTATTCAAGTGGGGGGGGGGGCCAAAAACAATATATTTAACTACTGTTTTTCTCTTCTTTTTCTGAGTATATACATACATTTTATTTCTTAATAAACACTATCCGGGTTTAAGGCCAAAAAAAAAACACAATTATATTATTTACATTTTAAATTCTGAGCGGAGCAATGAATGTATTGATTTTACAATGATGTGTTATTTTTTTTATTTTTCTTTATTTTTGTGATGTCATCATGGTTTGGGCCTTGGGGTAGTAAGACTGCATCGATTTTCTTCAAGAGTAACTATTGACAGATGGAAAAGTGAATCTAGTTGGTGCATTCGGGAGGAAAATTTTTAAATTCTCAATAGTTTTCAAAAGCGCTGGGTAAAACAACATGAAAATTAAGGAAAAACGGGAATTTTTACTCAATATTGGTTGTCGACAAAATCGATTTAGGTTTTTTGTGTAACTCTATAACAGATGAACGTATATACATGAAATACATAACTAGTTGCTTATATTTGCATTTTCTATGCACTATAAAATTTTCAAAATATTATGATTTGTTTTGAACTATTAAGGAACATTTTCAGTTTGCCAATTTTTTAGTCTTTTTTTCGATGAATGTCAATAAATGGTAAAAAAGCTTGAACATTTAATACAAGCTAGGTTCCTACTATATTGTATAGTGTATACTATACTATATGTAATTTAACACCATTCATTACAGTGACCCACTTGTAACCTACTGTACAACAGAGCGACACCCACTTGCCCACCTTTTTTAATTTATATTTACAATACTTATATTTCCTAAGTCCCTTCACTGAATGGTTTTTTCCCTTAAGACACTCAAGCCATTACACTTAATTTAATTTAAACAACATACATTATGCTTATTGTACTTTTTTAGATTCTGAGTGAAACGATGAATGTATTGATTTTACAATGATGTGTGTTTTTTTATTCTTTTTTTGTGTCTGACATCACCTTTTAAGACAGTAAATGTGCTTGGATTTTCTTCTGATATTTTATTCTTTTGATTCTCTTCTGATAGAAGAGTGAATCTAGTTGGTATTTTGTGGGTAAAATTTTCCCAGTAGTTTTCAAAAGCGCGAGAAAAACAAAAGAAAAATTAAGGAAAAACGGGAATTTTTACGAAAAATCTGTTTTCGAGAAAATCGATTTTGGTTTTTGGTGTAACTTTAAAACAAATGACCGTAGATACATGAAATTTTCACTGGTTGTTTATATTTGCATTTTCTATACACGATAACATTTTCAAAATATTTTGATTTGTTTTGAACTGTTTAGGGACATTTTCAGTTTCCAATTTTATTAGTTTTTTTTTTTATGAATATCAATAAAAATGTATTTGTTGAGAAAAAATACTTGAAAATTTAATACAAGGCTCCTACTATATTGTAAAGGCAGATGAAAAATAATAAAAATTCTTTGCCACAGTTTCTTTTTATGAGCAATTAAAGTTCAAAAATGGACAAAATATGGAAAAATCACGAAAATTAGAAAATTATTTTGAGTTAAGAATTCGTAAAAATTTTTCATTTTAAACCTAAGGTTTTAAAATGTAATAGAAGATTCCTTATAAGGTTATCAGTCTTTATCAAATTAAATTTTTATGAGCGTTTTAAATTTTCACAACATTGGATATTCAATCGATTTCTCATGTAGCGATTTCCTTATTTTGTTGTAAATAAAAAACTAATGACTGTAGATACTTGAAAATTTCTCTGAATGTTTAAATTAGCATTTTTTATACACCATACAATTTTTAAAATAATTTCATTGTCAGTTTTCAATTTTTTTAGTTTTTTTTCTATAAATATCAATTAAATTTTATTTGTTGGGTAAAAGAGAGGGAAAATTTAATTCAAAGCTCCTGATATACTGTTGCAATAGCAATTGAAAAATATTAAAAATACATATACCTACCTACCTAATACTTTTTGAATCAGAACAAAATAAGAAAATGATTTTATGAGAGTTTGTTAATTTACGGGTAAAAATTACATCATAACGTGTTCGCATTAGATTTGTTCCATTCTGCTATAGACAAGGTAAGACACAGATTTTGGCAATAATATTAGCATTAAAATTGGACAAACCTACCCACGGGAAAAATATTAGTCTGATTTTGATTTATTATTGACTGGTGAAAGCGTGCATCCCGCAGGTGCAGATCCATAAGAGGCTAATATGTAAGTAATGCTTCTCCAAACATACCACCAAAAAAGTCAAAAATAATATACCTATGATGGATTTTTGAACCTTAACTTCAAAGAATAGTTTTTTTTTCATATAATGATCACATACACTACTTCAGCAGCAGCTGTAGGCCCCTTGGCAAAATGTATATATTTGCATTAACTGCATTTTACTATGTATAGTTTACAAAATTCATGTTCGCTGTTTTATTATGATTGGTGGTATTTTAAAATGTCTTTCTTTAACCTTTTAATAATATGCTTACTTTTTTATTAATAAATCACAACTATAAGAGGTACCATATTATGCTTATAATATTTTTCATTCTTATCCACTGAAAAATTGTTTTAATAATTATGAGAAATCTTTAAGTATTTACAACAATAACAGTTATTAATAAATTATTATATTTCAATTGTTATTATTTTATAATTACTATTATTGTTTTTAACATAAATATGTTCAATTATTTCAAAACAATAGATAATAAAAAGCTTTTGTTTACCAAAACTATATTAAGTATACTGAATAATTTTAGTAATAAATTAAGTAGGTTGGTATATGATTAAATTATTAATCTTTCATTCATTCGATCAGTCCCATTTATTGTTGAAAAAATGTTCATTTGTTATAAATATTATTTAATGTAGGTTTACGAGTATTTATTGTATTTATTATTAAAATTAATCTTCCTTTAAATAATTTTATAAGCTCAGCGTTTAATGTTTATTTATGACATCCCTCTACGTAAGTATACAAATCTAACGTTATCATTATTATAATTCATTAAAGTCATAATGATTTAAAATTGTATGTTCTACCGTTCTAGTGATAATTAGATTTCTGATCTTGCAATCGATATATTATACCCTATACTTTTAATACCTACTATTGAAGCTATTAGAGTATAGATACAATTAATATTGCATGCAGTGTTTCTTACACTCGAATTGGCATTTTATATTAAACTTATAAATTCGAATAATTGAACATAATATAAGTTTTCTTTATAAAAGTATTTAAATTGCGATGTATTCAAATATGTGATTATGCTTACCATTTACTTTACAAACCACAAAATTAGGTAGATACATTAAATTATATAATTATAACTATTGCCTGATATCTAACAACAAATTAAAGTATAGCCACATAGGTAATGAGTACTTATATGTAATAGTAATGTGAATGTTAAATATTATATTATATTTGTTTATACTTTATATATTTATATCACACATGTATCGATTGATGGGTTTGACAAAATGTCCTCTAATGCAGTTTCATGCGCAATTAAAAACAATAAGTAGCTTAAAAATGTTTATGGTCTTGATAGTTCAAGGTTAATAATTATAATAGTTATAACTTATAACTTAAAATTAACTTTCAGTTTTATAATTTATTAATAATTTCATAATTAACTTACAATAATCTTTAGGCTTTGACTTATCGTGTTTATTTCTATTTATTATGTATACCAACATAGTATACATAAACGTAAATTTATAAAATTGTAAGAAAATCTATCGAAAAAGTAGGAAGTCTGGATGTAAAAAATACAACAGTGACACAACAGTGTATTATATTATATTATTGGTTGCTATTGGTTAATAGGGCATGTTTGTTGATTTGTATTATTATTTTTTGTCAATATATATAATATGAATATATCTTTATATTATGAATAATTCTACTGTAAGTGTGTTGTGACAGAACTCCTTATAAACGGTAGCACCGATTTGAATGCATTTCTTTTGTATGCATTTGGGTGACGCCCCGGATAATTTAGATTCATAAATCACCCCCCTAGGGCAACCAGTGGATGTGCTCAAACGGGGATTTAGAGATTTTTGTTTGCGAATCAGAATTTTTATCCCAGGCCACAGAAGAGTAATTTTGAACATCATACACAGAATATTAAATAACGAATAATTGAACAAAGTTTGAGTCATATAGAGTTAGTACATATAGCGGGAAACGAAGTGTACGGGATCAGCTAGTATTATTATAAGTTATAAACATAAAAAAAAAAAATATATAATCAATATTAATCCACAATATATTATTCTTTATTAATCTAAGGAATTAGAATTGTTAAGCTTCAAACTTTTGTCTGAAACAGCTGGTCCTTCCGCGGCGGCTGATCTTCAAACTCGTCCTGCTGATCCTGATCCTTTTCCTGCGTCTGCTCCAAGTGCCACCGCTGAGTGTCACTATATTATACATAGTTTATTCTGGTTTTTAAGGCACACGGAATCTGTGATATCATGACGCTTGGTGGCTGCAACTGAATTCACGATTAGGATATGATAGCGCCATCTAGCATTCTGGCGCACGTCCATAGTCCGGCGATCACTATACTTAGAACAGACGACTTCTGTTCTGTGTTGTCGCGGTAGTCGACCGAATGTCTTATATATATACGACCTGCTGGCCGCTATACCTTCGGAGGTCTGTCGTATGACAAATGTCCATATAAGCCGTATGGCATAAAAAAAACCTTTTATCACAGATATCACATTCAAACTCCACTGACCCAGGAGAAGTTTCTAGTTATATACAAGGTAACTTACCAAAAAAGGGTCACCCATCACATTTGTCTACGAATGCTGCAGAGCGCGACCTCCAGAAATTTTTTGCCATTTTATTCAACTATTGCAATTTTCAAATTAAGTCACTATTATGTACCTATATGCGTTAAATTTGAATTCAATGATAAATCATTGCACACAAAAAATGATTCTGATCGAAGTGGTCAGCTTAATATTAAGTCACTTAACCTAACCAGGGTTAGTAAATTAATAATTATTATTATCTACATAATAATCTAAACTTTAAATCATAGAATATTGTAAGTATATAAATATAAAATAATTAAATACCCAATTCTTTCTTAGTACCCACAATAAGCTGGTACTTAAGACCCGCCACCACATTTAAGCTAAGACAATAAATTGTCTCATAATAACCCTCTTGTCTCTGCGTTTGTAATCAGACAAATAAATATATTTCTTGATCTATAAGACTATGACATATAGGTAACTGAGGGCACTATATAGTATAAGGATATAATTATAGAATTGGCTTTATAAATTTGATTAAATTAAATTGAATAGCACAGTTTTGTTTCGTTTATGCAATTGATGTGGTAATTGAGTATAGATCAATAGATCGAGTCTCAGTGGTTGTCCTATCTGTTGCGGGACGTGGTATTTGTTTTTAAGACCTATCTGTAATAATTATTTTTGTTTTGAATAATAAAAGTAGGTATATTTTTATGATATTTTTTTAAGGAACTCAATTCCTTATACGTATTATACTTTGTTGCCAAATAATATATTTCTATATTTCATATTAAATTATTATTGATATATTGAAATGTTTTGTGTTATAATTATTGAACTAGTTGTGTGTTATTGTTTTACACATTATAGGACATAGATAGGTATCATAACGGTTTTGTAAGGTCCGTTTCATAATTAAAACATTTGTTTGCAAACTAAAAATCAATTCTATTTCATAATGTTGTTTACATTGCTTATAGTAATGGTAACACAGTTTTCGATACATGATTAATAGATTACTTAAAATATAGTATAAAAGTATAAAAATGCAAAAAGTATTAAGATTTTTGTTGAATATAACATATGAATAAAGCAATTGTAAAACGCATTCCTTACAATAATATGTTCGATGCGTAATTTAATAACATTTGCAAAAATATGATATAGCTTATATTGTATTTACATAATATGATACGAAAATACGGTTATGTGAAATTTTAAATAATACTCTTCCATATAGTATTTAGATTATTGTTTATAATATAGTTGACTTTTAATAAGCGAAATAAGCTATTGTGATTAATGTTCAATAATAAAAATAATATAAAAAACCTAACACTAGGTAATAAATTTGATAGTAAAACTAAATTATGGCAATTTTGAGCTTAGGTCATCATTTTTTGTATGGTGGCAAATATTCCCTGTCTGGTACGGCTGGTTTATTGTAAGAGTTTACAAACTGCGCATCAGATAAAGTGGATCCTGGGTATGAGGCAGACGTTGGCGATGCACCTGATAAAGTTGAGCTTGGACCATATGATCCCACAGTACTTCCTTGACTGGGGTAAGGTGTTGTGCCTGAACTTCCAAATGGACCTTGAGAACTCGGTCGACCGTTATTGTTTGCACCTGTAGATGGGTATGATGGTGTAGCTTGTGCACCTGGGTAGCTACTTGGACGTTGACTCGGGAATAGTGCACCTGTCTGTGATGGGTAATTTGCTGTTGGGCCTTGTGATCCTATTTGTCCTGGGTAGTTGGCTGACGGACCTTGAGAACCAGACTGTCCTGGGTAGTTGGCTGACGGACCTTGAGAACCAGACTGTCCTGGGTAGTTGGCTGATGGACCTTGAGAACCAGACTGTCCTGGGTAGTTGGATGACGGACCTTGAGAACCAGACTGTCCTGGGTAGTTGGCAGATGGACCTTTGATACCTGATTGGCCTGGGTAGCTAGCTGATGGACCTTGTGGGCCATATTGTCCTGGGTAGTTGGCAGTTGGACCTTGTGATCCTATTTGTCCTGGGTAGTTAGCTGTTGGGCCCTGGGAACCAGATTGACCTGGATAGTTGGCAGTTGGCCTTTGAGAACCAGACTGTCCTGGGTAATTGGCGGTTGGTCCTTGTGGTCCTGATTGTCCTGGGTAGTTAGCGGTTGGGCCTTGAGGACCTGACTGTCCCGGGTAGTTGGCGGTTGGTCCTTGTGGTCCTGATTGTCCTGGGTAGTTAGCGGTTGGTCCTTGTGGTCCTGATTGTCCTGGGTAGTTAGCGGTTGGGCCTTGAGGACCTGACTGTCCCGGGTAGTTGGCGGTTGGTCCTTGTGGTCCTGATTGTCCTGGGTAGTTAGCGGTTGGGCCTTGAGGACCAGACTGTCCCGGGTAGTTGGCTGTTGGACCTTGGGGACCTGATTGGCCTGGGTAGTTGGCCGTTGGACCTTGAGGACCAGACTGTCCCGGGTAGTTGGCTGTTGGACCCTGGGGACCAGTTTGGCCTGGATAATTGGTGGTTGGTCCTTGTGGTCCTGATTGTCCTGGGTAGTTTGCAACTGGACCTTGAGGACCAGACTGTCCCGGGTAGTTGGCTGTTGGACCCTGGGGACCAGTTTGGCCTGGATAATTGGCTGTTGGTCCTTGTGGTCCTGATTGTCCTGGGTAGTTTGCAACTGGGCCTTGTGGACCAGAAATTATTGGGAAGTTAGCAATTGGCCCTTGTGGTCCAGATAAACCGGGGTAGTTACCAATTGGTCCATTAGGACCAACTTGTCCAGGGAAATTAGCGATAGGACCTTGTGGGCCTGATTGTCCTGGAGAACCTACTTTGGAGTAGTCATAAATATTAGCGTTCAAGCCATATAGACTTTCAGCAGTTGAACAATCAAACTGGTTCCACCAGACACATACAAAGTGTTGTTGATGGAATATTGTTCCATTAGGACACAAGAAATCGTATTTAATATCATTAGAACATATATGGAATACTTGACATCTGGCTTCGGTATCAGCGTAGTATCCTGGTAATCTCTGGTTACAAGTAAATGAAGTATTTGGGATTTCTGATAGTATTGGGTAGTCGGTACCTGGTTCTCCGGGTATAGCAGAAAAGTCACCACCTTCGTAAGAACCATCATCATTATTTCCAGTTGGTGAGTTTCCAGATCCAAAGCCGTTTCCAAAACTAGCAGGTCCTTGACTACCACCATTTCCACCAAAGAAACTGCTAGGTCCTTGTACACCAGCATTTCCACCTCCAACACTGCTAGGTCCTTGGCTACCACCGTTTCCACCAAAGAAACTGCTAGGTCCTTGTACACCAGAATTTCCACCGCCTACACTGCTAGGTCCACCAATTCCGGCACCTCCATAACTTGGCCTGGATCCACCACCAACACCACTGCCAAAACTATTTGGTCCTTGTGTTCCAACATTGTTACTTCCGTAATTGCCTAAAAATAAATTGCACAGTGTAAATAGAAAACAATTTATTATTTATTTTTCTCTGTAATATTTACCAGGTGCACTACCTATACCAAAACCGCTTGATCCCGGGTTGCTTCCAAAACCTGTTCCTGGTACAGAACCACCACTACCACCATAACCAGGAGCATTTCCACTTCCAAATCCAGTAGTTCCTACATTGTTTCCACTTCCATAACTACCAGGAGCATTTCCACTTCCAAATCCAGTAGTGCCTACATTGTTTCCACTTCCATAACTACCTGGGGCACTCCCACTTCCAAATCCAGTAGTTCCTGCATTGTTTCCACTGCCATAACTACCCTGAGTGTTTCCACTTCCAAATCCAGTAGTTCCTGCATTGTTTCCACTTCCATAACTACCAGGAGCATTTCCACTTCCAAATCCAGTAGTTCCTACATTGTTTCCACTTCCATAACTACCCGGGGCACTACCACTTCCAAATCCAGTAGTTCCTACATTGTTTCCACTTCCATAACTACCCGGAGCATTTCCACTTCCAAATCCAGTAGTTCCTACATTGTTTCCACTTCCATAACTACCCGGAGCATTTCCACTTCCAAAACCAGTTGAACTTGGTGTTCCTGAACTTCCACCAAATCCACTCGGTTTTGAACTTCCAGATCCAAAACCAGATCCTGATCCAACACCATATCCATTACCACTTTGAGGGGCTCCTAAGCTTTCTTGTCCACTTGGACCATAGCTTGGTCTTGTGTTTGGTCCAGAAGAACCATCACCAGATGAGCCATATCCAGGCGATGAACCTGAACCAGTAGGGAAGTTTCCAGGTCGTTGTGCAGTTGAACTAGGGAAGTTAGCAGTAGTAAAATCTTGAGGTGCAGATGTAGGATAGGCTGTTTGGCCACCATACCCACCAGTAAAACTGGGCGTACCAGTAGGTCCAGTAGAACCAAATTGGTCAGCCTGAGTTGGGTATGACGAAACCGTTGTAGGGAATGAAGTAGGATAGCTAGTGCCCGGTATTGCTGTAGTTGGGCCGTTCAGGGGATTTGATGGTTTGTTGTAATTATAACCACTTTGAGCCTAAAATAAATATATAAAATATACTAAAGAATGATAATTTTTTTATAATATGTCAAATGTATGTAAAACACTTACCAATGCATAATGGGATAGTGCAAAGAGGGTGCCTGAAACATATTAAAAAATAATCATTATACGAATAATCAATAACGTTTAGGTATTTAATCGAATAACATACAAATAATTATTCACGCAAGTTTGTAAATTACATAGGAATAAAATACCTAGAGTATTTAATTAAATTAAATAACTAATTAAAGAGTTTAACTCTGTTGAGGTTTATGGTTGTTTTAAACATTATGTCACTTAAATTGTAGAATCTATTGTTATATTTAACGACTGACTTTACCAATTCTAATTTGTGAAAATCGAGCATTACCTATTTAACACGTGACCTCATTCCCTACATAGTACATATTTTTAAGAATTTTCTCACGAAAATACCAACAATTATGCAATAAACTTTATTAGCATGTTGTAAATATTAACTACTTGCAAGATATTATTTTATATAGGTATAAACCTGCAGCACCATTTACCCACTTGTAATTAAGTCACCAGCATTCTCTTTATATTTGAAATACGTTTCCAGAGTTTTTAAAAAAAGTACATGTACTGAAATACTAATATTTCCTAACACTTAAAAAGCAATTTAATGTGTGTAATTTTTATTATTTGAATTCTACATCTTTCAAATATGAACATGCATTTTAAATTTAATTATTGTTGAATTTGTAATTCTTATATTAGTCAAAGTAATTTTTTATTTCTTCAATTAAAATTAATACAGTATGGGCTCAATCAAAACAATTATTAATCTTAATTGTTCTCCTTGTACGTATCATTAAAAATTAAGGTCCGATAATAATAATATTATTACTGATTAATGTACCTAGCATAAAATTAAACCCACATAAATCATAGAACTGTGAAAGCATCAAGTGGAAATATCACTGAAAAACGCACTTAAAATTATTATTTCATTGACTTTCGAGTTAACTATTGTTTAAAATAAAAATATAGAATATTTGTGTTTATTAATTGTTAAACAATTTAGTAAGTTTATTTTTCTCACTATCGACCAACACTGCGAAATAGCTGTTTACTATTATTATTGTGTTCTATGCATTGCTGTCACGCCTTGTTTGGTTGTAAAATTAATTTTATGACGATATATTATAAACTATTTAAACGGAATATTACGCGCTCGTCTACATTTCTTCAATAAAATTATATCACGACGGTCGCGATACAATCTTCTTTTCCGGAGCTAACGCCTTGTTGACCACCAGGCTGTGACTTCCTCATAGTTTGACGGTGTAACCCGTCATGTGGAACAATTAATCTACTCGGACGGTACAATATTATTTTATTGTTGTGTGGTTTTAACAATAAGGCGAACGAAATGAACAAATATTGTAATTGCACGGAAAACGAGTCTGTTTAAGACCGTTTTGCAAGCCTCGGCCGTTTTGGTTTGCCGGATTCGGACAAATTGAGCAACGGAGCCGCCAGCTGACGAGACGGATCAGTCGTCTCGTTCATCATCTCGCACGGTCACGACTTCATGCACGAGCTCTGTTTGCACACTGCAGTCACCGTCATGTTTTCTTTTGAAAACAACCTGGGTGAAATATAACAGTCGATATGTGTACCGTCTCCGCCGGAGAGAAGAGTTGTGATATACTTACATTTTATTTTATTTATTATTATTATTTTTTTTTTAAAAAATGATTCCCATTGTCGGTTGTGAAACGATTTTTGAAAGTTCTCAAATCGCCGCCGTAACGGGGAAAAGAATAAATTTCATTCCCAAATGACATTTATCCCACGAACTCGGTACGACACGTATTCGGGATGGGAATCTACGATAACCCCTCTAGGTCGTTTAATGCCAATTACGGCATTTCATTGCGAAAATCGTCTGCAAACGGATTGGCACACTATCGTCTATACTATTATTGCCACGGGATCTTATCGTAAAATGTTATTATAAACATAACTTGTGTTCGACGTGCATCCGACAGCTAATCTAATATCACGAACGCAATTACGATTTGCACTGTCGAAATTTTACGAAAAAAAAAAAAAAAACATCGAGCAGCAATTTATATACTATGCTTCGATACAATATATGTAATTGGAAGAGAAACCAATAGAATTCGTGATGCTATCGATTTTATACACACAAATCCCGCACGCATATTATCTGCTACAGCTACATTATATGTATATATATACAACTATATAGTTGTGGCTATATAGACGAGCTTCGATCACATGGTCGATTAATCATAATAATGGATCGCTCGTGTTACTATATTGGATTTACTTACACAGCAACCGCAAGAAAGACGTATTCATGATGATTGGCACACCACCACCTGGAAACATAAAAAAACAACAATTTTAAAATAACATTACGATAATACGGTTAGGCACAGTGTATAATATTGATATTATGTTATTCAACAGGTGGGCAATGCATTTGACAACGTTAGGTATATTATACTATTATTGTTTGCGGCTGATTTCATGTGTTAATGGTGCAACAAAAATAATTATAGGTGCCTATACATATTCCCCATTTAATTATGATCGTCTGGATCGAAATCGCCCAATGAACGAAATGTCCGGCGCAAAACAACTAATGGTTTATAATAATGCCCGTCGACACGTCCTTCGGGTCATCAGTTCCGACCGCTCTGTGTCAAATCGAAATGCTCACGCTCAATTCGTGTATGTGTGTGTGTGTGTGTATATATATATGAGTTGTAGGCACATAACATGGTTAAATACATATTTAATAATCGTCCGGTCAACGTCCCTGTATAACGCGATAATTACGGGTGTTGGATTTAGTCACCGGCTCGGTCATAGAGCGAAGGCGGCGGCGGTCATTCCGGTGTAAAATTCTCGAGCAAAGTTCAAGAGTGTGACCGTGTAAGGTCTACGAGATCGTTGTCGGACTAGGAAAATTCGGCGGCGTTTCGTTTTGAATTTTTCGCTCACCTTCGGTCAAACGAAACGACCGTAATATATTCGAATTGAATGGCTTACGCAGCGTATCTAATTTATTGTTTTTGGAATCTGTGGTGCCACTCGTCGTTGTGCGGCTAATGTGGTTTTTTTTTTTACTCTTGGGCCCCTACTTTACGACCCACGCGAGCTGCAACTTTATAATAATATATAATGGCGCACGTCGTTATTATATCGATTCCGATCGGGTCGAGGAGTTCATATTATTATATATTATTATTATTATTAAGTCACAACATAGTATTATAATATTATTATAGGTAATGTTGTGCTCGATCGTTTTATTGTTTGTGTCACGTACACGGTGAAAATGTGAAATAAACGCCCGTAAATCGATAGTGCATCGCAACTATCTATTATATATTATATCATTATGTATAAACGACGCGGTGAACTTGAACGCCAATAAGTGATGATAGTAATAACGAGACTATATTTTATGATTGTGTTTCCGTTTGGTGCATTTACACCTCAGGTGTGTATGCGATCGATATTTTTTTCAAAAATAGGCAACAATGTCTAAAAATAGTAGGCTCTCGGGCATATCGTGAATAAAAAGAGAATCCGTTAACCCACTGAGTGTTAGTATTTTTTACCGAACTAATAAACATAAAGTTGGAATCTAAACTATATTATAGTAGTTGGCTTCTTGGTCAACTCATTATTATTAACGTTCGAATCCCGCGATGAAGTGATGACGAACCGGATCGGTCAAATCGGACGTTTGTCGTCCTGTCGTAATCACTCTACATAACCTATAGTGTACGTCTTATACACAATATATAGGTAGGTAGGTACACGTTATTGTTACTGTGAAATATGTACCTATGTAAATATACATAAAATTCGAGCGAAGCGTTTTGCTCGCAAATCACGTAACACACGTTTCCGAACGATTGTTCGCCGCCGTTATTATTATTATTATAACACGCCACTGTGTATTTCTTCTCACACTCGAAAAATACGACCGTTCCAATTTCGGATGCGACCCAGAGAACGGTTTGAAAACGCGGCGATGATGATATTTTGCAACCGATTAATGTCAGTTAATTATACGATTTAAGAGTAAGGCGCCGGTGGCCGCACAATAGTATTATACACCCGTATATACATATGATATATATATTTGTATATAAAAATGTGACGTTAGACGTTTGTTTTATTATTATTATTATTATTATTTACAATGTTTTATAATGGGAACGAACATGGACCTGCCACATGTACGCACAATAGCATATTATTATTATTATTATTATTGCGTATAACTTATTTTGCGTATCTGCAGCCTATACCGAGTTACAATAATTAAAAACGAATTTCGGTCGATAAACTATAACTGTATATGTATAATAAAATATTGTTAGGCCTCCTGTCGTTCTATATAGGTCCTGCAGCGCACTTTACCTACGCCATTTGTTGGTCTGCCGAACCTCTCAGTTTCGCTCTCTCGACCATCGTTTCCTCGGACAGCGTACCTATATGTCGATGGTGATGGTCGATACTAACTATAAATGGGACTGTAGTCGATACTGCACCGTGACATTAATCGATAATTACTTGTCTTACAATTGGTTATCGTCCTATTTCATAACGGTAAGTAATTCATTTAAATTGAAAAATTACCTATCAAAATCGTTTTAATAGTATTTTAGTAGAAAAAGAATGCTTCAAATCAAATTATAATATTATTTTCTCCCTGTTTTATTTACAAAAATAACTCGATGTTGTTCGAACGGCTGCGACATAATTATGCGAATTGTTTCCTATATTATATACCAAATCATGGAAATTACATTTCGACCACCTCAGACCACGACCATTGCCTTTTAAAAATTTTTTTTAAATTGTGATTTTTTATTTTATATTTGATAACAAAACTAAAATAAAGCATTAATTATTTAAAAAAAAAAATATTTTTATAATGTTTTTGGTAAGCTTTATTACTCTTATATGGTTATTAGACATCACTTAGGTGATACAATCAAATTGCTGTGTTCTTCGATATATAACTCAAAACTAGATATAAAATGTCTACGTTATAATAAGTGTTTGACTAAGTATATATGTACCTATATCAGACATTAGTTAATTGTTTTTAAATTGATCACATTTTTTCAAAAACACTATTTTTTTTGTAATTTATCATATAACTTATACGTTTTAATTGAAATGTTGCTTTTAAAACAATATGAATTGTTAAATTCGTTTATAATAAATGATGAAATATTTGAACACTTTGAGGTGGAAATGATAATAGTTAAATAAAATATGGATAAATAAAAGCAAACGGTGCTCAAGTGTTGCAAGTAAGATCGTATGTTATCACATATCATGGTATAACAGAATAACCATATAAAAACTAAGAAGTATAATATAATAATAAACCGATATACGATATTTCTAAACTTTCGTTCGGTACCAAAAAGGCTACTATAGTATTATTTTACTACACGGGTGCATAATAAAATATAATTATACAATATTATAATAATGGCTACAACTCGGATAGTGCACTTGGGCAAACGCCATAATATAATATAATATATACACCTTGTACGAGTATAAACGAATAGGACCTTTAATATAGAGTACTTCATGGATGCATATAATATTATGCAGAAAATGTTAATATATTGATTTAACAGTGTGTTTCAGCTGGAGACGAATATAATATAATGATATGGCTCGAACGAATCGCACCGTATGTGAAAAATTATACGATAAGAAATGCAATAAATTATGATGCACGAGTATCTCTATAATATATATTATCTGCTATCGGTGCAGTGATAAATTATTATGATATTTTCAGACTTCTTACCTTTTAGCCGACGACGGACGGATAGAATTATCTGCGGCGGACACCGCGGATGTGTTTAGCACAAAAAAAAATAATAGACGAATCACACTTCGATGTTTTATTTTAAAATATTACTGTCGTGTACACTCGTAGACTTTAACGCACGACGACGAGTCGTACGAATATTATTTTTAACGAAAAAAATACGGTAGACGACGATGGCGAGCGCTGCTGTGGTGTGTGCGTCCCTGTTGGTTCGGAGAGCGGGTCGACTGTGAATGTTCGTTTCGGGTGCACTCGATTATTTATAGGTCCGAAGCTTGCGGCCCGTGGGGGCGAAACACGTCACCCACATCGCAGTGGGGTCTATCTCCCCCCGTGGCACATACGTCATCACGAGCACTTTCACGAGGAGGACGTCCGCGGAGACGTTCGGCGGCGGCTGCGTCTCGTCACGAGGTCGCGTCCGTCTTGTGCGTGCGTATACTTACGCCGTCGTCGCATCGTCCCCGCGCGACGACGAGCACTTACGCCCACGACCTGTTGCACTGTCGCCGCCGTGGAAGCAGCCGTGTATAGTATTATCGCTGCGATTATTACAATATAACTTAATATCATAGTATCATAGGTAATATATTTTTATCATATTATTCTGTATACGATATTTTCGTGTGCCTATAGTGTACGCATCTCACTCGCTCGCCGTCTCCGGGATCGATCGGTCGTCGCTATAAACGCACATTATAATGATACAACCGCGCGGTATATCATTTTTAAACCTGCAGTATAATATGTCATACAGTTCTCATAATAATTAATAGAGTATAATAGTACCGCAGTCTAATATTTCGGAGCAGTTCACTGCATAGTTGATAATACGGCCAGCGATTTTAACGTTCGACTCATCCGCGAGATTTGTATAATATCATAGTAATAGACGATTCTGGAAAGAATAAACACTACGTAAAGTTTTTGATTCGTGTGCGAACGTTTCGTAATAATATTTATTTTATACATTTCAAAACTATATTATATGAATCTCATCTATACCTAATTAAACTACAAGAGTGATGCGGTGATTTTTCACCGTGGCTGATCAGATTCCGTGTACATATGCGCTGTAGCAATAATTTAATACTTTATCGTTATTATAATATTTAAATCGTATAGGTATAATATATAGGACATTATAGGTATATAGTCGCTATTTCTAATCTGCGCTCTTCGTTCACCGTATAATCTCAACGTTGGGCGTGAAATTATTAAATTTAAATTAGGAAATTATGCTCAATAACCTGTAAGTACCTAAACTTGTGGATTCATTAGCATTTATTGTGGTTTTGTAGGATTTTTTTAAATTGTTGAGACAATCATTCTGATCCAAACCGTACCTATATACACACTCCATAATATTTGGAAAAAATTACATATTACGTATCAGTATACTACATAAATATATACATTTTGATATTCTCTTAAAGGTAAAAATTTATTTTCTCAAAACGTATTTAACGTTTTAAAA